ACCGGCATATAGTAGAGTACCTGTTGTAACCGGCATATAGTAGAGTACCTGTTGTAACCGGCATATAGTAGAGTACCTGTTGTAACCGGCATATAGTAGAGTACCTGTTTTAACCGGCACATAGTAGAGTACCTGTTGTAACCGGCACATAGTAGAGTACCTGTTGTAACCGGCACATAGTAGAGTACCTGTTGTAACCGGCACATAGTAGAGCACCTGTTGTAACCGGCATATAGTAGAGTACCTGTTGTAACCGGCATATAGTAGAGCACCTGTTGTAACCGGCATATAGTAGAGTACCTGTTGTTTAGCACTCTCACCACTTCAGGTATTGCTGAGAGGTCAACAATGTCCTATTTACAGGAACCAGAATAAGGGTTGTATTGCCGTAAGGATGTCAACATTGCGGTTTCTCCAACTTGGTGTTTCGTTAACCCTTTTACCGGCACATAGTAGAGTACCTGTTGTTATTGCTGTGCTACATCGCAACTGTTGTTTAGAACTCTCAATACTTCGGTTATTGCTTTGGTGTAGTGCAGCTGTTACTTAGAACTCTCACCACTTCAGTTATTTCTGTGCTACATCACAACAGTTGTTTAGAACTCTCAATACTTCGGTTATTGCTGTGGTGTAGTGCATCTGTTGCTTAGTATCTGTTGCTTAGTACTCTCACCACTTCAGTTATTGCTGTGCTACATCACAACTGTTGTTTAGAACTCTCAATACTTCGGTTATTGCTGTGGTGTAGTGCATCTGTTGCTTAGTACTCTCACCACTTCAGTTATTGCTGTGCTACATCACAACTGTTGTTTAGAACTCTCAATACTTCGGTTATTGCTGTGGTGTAGTGCAGCTGTTGCTTAGAACTCTCACCACTTCAGTTATTGCTGTGCTACATCGCAACTGTTTTTTAGAACTCTCAATACTTCGGTTATTGCAGTGGTGTAGTGCAGCTGTTGTTTAGAACTCTCACCACTTAAGTTATTTCTGTCTTATATTGCAACTGTTTTTTAGAACTCTCAATACTTCGGTTATTGCTGTGGTGTAGTGCAGCTGTTGTTTAGAACTCTCACCACTTTAGTTATTGCTGTGTTATATTGCAACTGTTTTTTAGAACTCTCAGTACCTCAGTTATTGCTGTGGTGTAGTGCATCTGTTGTTTAGAACACTCACCACTTCAGTTATTGCTGTGGTGTAGTACAGCTGCTGTTTAGAACACTCACCACTTCGGTTATTGCTGTGGTGTAGTGCAGCTGTTGTTTAGCACTCTCACCACTTCAGTTATTGCTGTGTTATATTACAGCTGCTGTTTGCAGTTGTTACCACTCCAGTCATGGTGTGTTGTATAACAGCTAATGTATTAAACCCTCACAGTTTCAGTTGTAAATGGTTTAAGGTATTTCGGACAATGCATGTCTTGTGCGTCGCAGATTCTTACAAACGTTCGCATAGTGAGAAACCTCCAGCTTCAAGTATAGGTTTCCTCAGAACGGGTAGATACAGCTGAAGAATGCTACTCGGGACAAGAACCCGAACACATGTCAGTTGTGGAACTCAGACCAACGAAAGTCATCGTGCGGTCCCCGCGGCAAGTCCTGCGGGTGTGTTGTTTCAGTCCTTCCGGGCTTCGGGTATTAAAAGGTGAACTGCCCTGTGGACGAATGATACGGATAAACGGAAAGATAATTCCCTTGTCTGTAAATGGGATTCTCCAACGACCGGTAGTGTTGAAAGTAGTTCTCTTTGACGGGCAAAGCTAAATGTTTTGCATTTCTTGTTAAATGAATGCAATAGCAAGTGACCAGTTCAGCCAATCAGAATGCAGGAATTACAATCAACACAACGAAAATGTAAATATTTTCTTGTGAGCGGAGGTATATGTTCATAGTGTATATACTTGCGCTGGACATTAGGATATAGTTAAGTGGTTTATAATACAGCTGTATACAGGTTTAAGGTTAAAATAGACATTAAGTGTATTTGTATGCCAAACTTATATTAGCTTATAACATCAAAATGATCAGTACACAACGGATTCCTGGCCACTGTTACTAATGAATTTGATTTTTACTGTATTTTCTCATCTTAAAATCTTTACCATGCTTTCTTGTACCAGATAACAGGTGTACGTACAGTTCCAACTTCTACATGGCTTTTAAGGGAGAGACAGACACACCTTTTTGATCGCATATAACTGTTAATTATCGTGAGTTTCCTGTGCTTCTCTGCTTATCCAAATCTGTTGACTATTGGAACGTAATTTCTAGTTCTAGGCCTCCTATCACAAACCACTAAGGTGATCGTAAGTCACTAAGGTAACAATGTCAAAGAATGGGAGTTAGGGTTAACCTTAGTAAAGGTTGCTTCGTCAAAGGAGCCCCAGGTAGGTAAAACAGGAGAAGAGAAACATGCCTTGTTTTGTCTTTGACAAACAGAGCAAAATTCATAAGCATAAAGAAACAGATCGTCCAAAGGTGGAAAGGAGATGGGATTTTGTGTCCAAGAGGATGTTTACCTGTTGCCTAAAAGTGCTATCCCCAGACTATGCTATCCCCTGCTCTTATATAGATGGTACCAATGAGGTGGTCCAGCATTTCCCAGTTTCTTTTATCACTTAAGTTCATATGGCATTTTGTAACAAAAGGACCCATGTGTCAAGACGTGTTCCTCAAGTTACTCCAGTGGAATACTGGTTCTGAGACATTAAATACTGGTGTTGAGACATTAAATACTGGTGTTGAGACATTAAATACTGGTGTTGAGACATTAAATACTGGTGTTGAGACATTAAATATCAAGCAGTTCATTTGAATTTTTTGAGAAGCCAAAATGGAATTAACATCCCGCTTGCCTCGTATGGATATGAAGCTCGTCCCTCCTTAAAATCTTCATAATCTCCTTTAAGATTATCGTTACTCATTCAGACCGAGATAAAGCGATATATACATACTGATTTTTGTTAAATCTTTAAATATTAAACCTTTGTACGGTTTTTATTAAAGACATTCTGTTTTTTATAGTTTATGCTGTCATCATAAGTGGACGGCAGTCACGTCTCGGCTCCCGTGTTCGGCTCCCGTGTTTGTCGTCGTGAGTTTGTCCTGAGCTAGGATATTTTTTCGCCCCGTCCGCACAGACGCTTGATTGTGACACTAATACTAACCACTGCAAGCAGTCACGTCTATTACACTCACATGTAAACAGGGACAACAGGTGAATAGCAATCCACATTTAATTCCACACACAGGATATGGCAGCTGGATAAAGACATAATTCGTCCTTATCATGGACACTCGCGTGTCAGCATCGGTGCCCGAACTGGCATCGTCTCTAGGATTCGCCCCACAGTAAGCTGCTGACTTGTGTTAGTGTGTTGGAATACTTTACGACAAAGCGAAGTGATACCAAACTCTCACCAACTAACGCACACATTAAGGATCCCCGTAAATCAAGCGGGGATGAAAACAATACAACCGGGCGTAACAATCGCCCAGAAAGTAGCAACTATTTTACTTAATTCAGATATATGTCTCTGTGCAGTACACACTTAGATGTGCCCGACAGGAACATGCAGTCACACCTAACGAACTATCTAACTCACAAGTCATGCATTCCAAACCTGTTGGTCTTCTCAAAGTTCAGCTGATTTCCTCCATGTATGATACATTGGAAATAAAAAAAAGCAAACATTGATGATGAGCTGACAAATATTTTTGCCTTGATTTGCCAAACGTTTTACCAGGGTTCAGCATTAAAAAGGGAATGAGGGTGTGGTACGCCTGGCTGTAACACCCCTATGTTATCGTGTTTGTCACATGTTGTATTACATACATCCCCTTTGTCTTGATGTACAAACTAGGTGACGATCCATAAGGTTGAGTTTCCAGGTATATAAAATTTGTGTCTTAATAATCTTCGTTTCAAAAGTTGGGACATGAAGAAGTTATTGAGCTAAGTGGGGACAGCTTCTTGAACATTCTCCATACATGTATTACTATCTGTGACTGTATAGTATTAGCATCAACTCACGGGCTTAAGAAAATATACACAATATCTTAAGGAGGCCAAAAACTTAAAAATAAACTGGTTATTTGATGGTAATGTGGTATTGTGTTTGATGATGATTGCGTTTTCTACCTTACGTTCACAGTGACTGTCTTCAGTAACGTTTTGATAACATTTATGTCTTTGTCAGATCCGCCTTTCAAGTGTTTGCTTTGCTTATCCCGACAGTAGAGATAAATCTGTGTAACTTGTCAGTAATGAACATTGGTTACTTCCCGATGAACAGAATATTTTTTGCATGTAGAGATTCATTTATTCATTCAAGTTTGGAGAAATCGGTAAAATGGACTCAGGATAATATATACATCTCTCTTGTTCACATTAGTTTGACTTTACTAGTAATTGCGACTTCGGATTAATTGAAAAGCCGTATTAACAGTAATAACCATTATCATCTTATGAAAGTATGTGTCTTATACTGGAACTACCCACAAAACACCACCGTTCTGGGTTGGCTTCATGTCATCTCAAGATGGGCCCAGTAGTTGCTATCTCATCAATAGCAAAACGTTTATCCACCTTTAATTTTGGCCAGTCACAAACGATTTGTTTGAGTTCATTTGATTCTTTGAGAAAGAAGTGATTTGCGTGACAGCTTATCATCCGGGGTGTCAGTCTGTTGCACGTGCATTGCTTCCCATGCACGTGCTGGTCCACTGAGTGATCTCCAGCGGAACTGTAGGATAAATCTGGTTTGATTATGGAATACTTCAGTGTCATGTCCCGGAACCAACGTTAACATAACTTTACTGAAAGGAGGTACACTGTCTCAAGCAACACCAGGAACCAACAGAGACAGCAATTGTATCATAAAGTATGGAAAGCAGGAGGTTTTAGAGAAAGCTCTTCAGTAAACATACTCAGCAACACTGGCCACGGAAATAGTCGGACATATTCCAACATGTAGCAGCAGTTTACACCGTGAAGCAGCCCACCTAGTCACTTGTCGGTGTATGTAACGGCCTGTACTGACCCCCCTCGACTGTCCCGTACCCCTCACCATCAACTTGGCCCGGGTGGTCTGTCAGGCCGTAGGTCTCCTCGTCCCCAACGTCACATTCTCGGCATATAATAGTCTTACAAAACACGGCGGACGTCACAATGCCGCCCAATCCGATAAAGGCCATACCGACGACGATGCAAATGTCGAGATCGTTGCCGAGTTTGGCGTAGTAGGTGTCGACAGCTTCTTGTTGTCTTGCAGTGAGTGAGGGGTCGGGGGTGTGGCTCCGGGGAATGATGTATCCGATGGTGGAGATTATGAGACCGATGAATACGCTACCTATGGCAAACAGAATCAGATAGTCGAGCGAGGTCTGCGGTGGTTCAAGGAAACGTCCGGAGTCGTTGGTGTTGGTGTTGGTCATGATGTGGTCTTCATGAAGTTTGTTGTATCAGGTATTAAGTATGTCGTGGCTCTTTACAATCCATATATATTGCCTGATATTATCCCGACTGGTATAGGAATCACGTAGGTGAATGTCGCTGCATTGAACACAATATGGCGTTTAGTAATAGGCCACTTCTTGAAAAGTCTCTCAGAGCAGGCGCCTCTCTCACCGCGGGCTTCTCTCTCTGTTTTGGCACCTCGACCCTTCTGAAATAACGGAGTAGAATATTAAACATTGCGCCACAATTAAGACAGATATAAATAAAAGGAACGCTATTTCTGAATTTTGTTACCATGTATGTGCAGAGAGTATTTCGGCTCTACAAATGAAAGTAATCAGTATTGATACCCCGACTGCTGTGGTCGTCTGTTGTCAGCCATGTTGCCGCATCATGCCATGACTACTAGTGCCAGACAAACACCAGCAGATATATCTGACATAGCTCTTATATGCTAGCCGTGTGGACATGTTTTGGAGAATTTTCAGCATGACACCGTCTGTCATTGTTTCAACAGAACGATGTCTGTCATTGTTTCAACAGGACACCATCTGTCATTGTTTCAACAGAACGATGTCTGTCATTGTTTCAACAGAACACCATCTGTCATTGTTTCAACAGGACACCATTTGTCATTGTTTCAACAGGACACCGTCTGTCATTGTTTCAACAGAACGATGTCTGCCATTGTTTCAACAGGACACCATCTGTCATTGTTTCAACAGAACGATGTCTGTCATTGTTTCAACAGGACACCGTCTGTCATTGTTTCAACAGAACGATGTCTGTCATTGTTTCAACAGAACACCATCTGTCATTGTTTCAACAGAACACCATCTGTCATTGTTTCAACAGAACGATGTCTGTTATTGTTTCAACTCTGTTATTGTTTCAACAGAACGATGTCTGTTATTGTTTCAACAGAACACCATCTGTCATTGTTTCAACAGAACACCATCTGTCATTGTTTCAACAGAACACCATCATTGTTTAACACCATCTGTCATTGTTTCAACAGGACACCATCTGTCATTGTTTCAACAGAACGATGTCTGTCATTGTTTCAACAGAACACCATCTGTCATTGTTTCAACAGAACATCTTCTGTCATTGTTTCAACAGGACACCATCTGTCATTGTTTCAACAGGACACCATCTGTCATTGTTTCAACAGAACGATGTCTGTCATTGTTTCAACAGAACACCATCTGTCATTGTTTCAACAGAACGATGTCTGTCATTGTTTCAACAGAACACCATCTGTCATTGTTTCAACAGGACACCATCATCATTGTTTCAGCAGGACACTATCTACCATTGTTTGTGTCATTGTTTCAACAGAACGATGTCTGTCATTGTTTCAACAGAACACCATCTGTCATTGTTTCAACAGGACACCGTCTGTCATTGTTTCAACAGAACGATGTCTGTCATTGTTTCAACAGAACACCATCTGTCATTGTTTCAACAGAACACCATCTGTCATTGTTTCAACAGAACGATGTCTGTCATTGTTTCAACAGAACACCATCTGTCATTGTTTCAACAGGACACCATCTGTCATTGTTTCAACAGAACACCATCTGTCATTGTTTCAACAGAACACCATCTGTCATTGTTTCAACAGGACACCGTCTGTCATTGTTTCAACAGGACACCGTCTGTCATTGTTTCAACAGAACACCATCTGTCATTGTTTCAACAGGACACAGCTTGTCATAGTTTCAACAGGACACCGTCTGTCATTGTTTCAACAAGGCAGTGTCTGTTATTCAGAGCCACAAGTCTTGAAATGCTGGGAAGCTGATGTGGACACTCAAAGCACATGCCGGACAAGGCGCACGTGCTAAATGTCTTGGTGGAATGCTCTTTAATCCAGTAGGTCTCTAAATATCACAGCTGCCAATTGCTGTTTTATTGTACAATGTTGATCATTATTTCTATTGTCAGCTGCCGTATTTAAACACGTCCGTCCAATTAATCCTCCTTTTCCGCCATGTGTACACTGACCCCGGAATACGTGCCTTAAAAACGGCTACTTCCACAGCCTGAACACAAACACAGCTTCCCAGCAGCGCCCCCTGCAGGCCGGTGTTGGGAGCCATGCACCACACCACGCCACATGACATCCACCATCAACTCAGATATGAGCGCGTGCTCCCATTCTAGAGGTCAATCAAGAGGACAAGGACATCCTCCGGTTGACGTTTATCACGTTATATCCAAGATCAACTGTACATTGGAGATGAGCCACATATCGGCAGGTGTTGGTACAGGTTCAATATCACCCACCTGCCACCACTACCGGAGAGCGCAGCTTATGCGTCACCACATTGTAAATATTGAACAGCGAGCAGTCTCAGACTCAATGGCTGATCGCTTCTAACCGGCACGATTACAGGAATCACTGCAAGAAAAAAATGTGCAAAACACATATTGTACTTATAGCATTTTATTGAAGCAGCAGTATATACTCAACACGTGACATACTGTTGAAGCGTGTCATCAGTATATCCTAAATGTATCATATACTTGTGAAAACAACTTATACACTGTACATGTATATACATAATACGGACATTATATCATTTATACGCCATCAAAATAGTGCGGAATAAATGTGATGTCCCATGGTTATCTTACAGAGGTATCTATATTTCCTTTACATGATTCGGGCGTATAGCGTTTATAACGCACTATTATATAATATAGATCCTTTTGACGACTTGTATCATATGTCAGTCTGCCTTTGGTTTCTTGAGTAACAACTTGGTCCATGTCTAGTACTGCACGTATCTTTGTCGCTATGGTTATGCTGAACTCCAGGCAGTGATACATAGTGCAATACAGTGTTGTGGAGTACACATGGACAACATGTCTCCCATGCTTACATTACTGCACACACAAATGTGAGGATCAATAGCGTTAAGGTGTAGATGACGTATCCGAGAGTAACGTTATCAGTCATCAGTGTATATGACCTGTGTGGTTCAATAATACATATGGATTCTATGAAATCCTAACTGACAGTTATTTGTAGGCCAGTGTGTCTTCGGGTGATTCATCTGTGAGTACAAACATTTGAACTTCCTGTGAAGTATGTTCATCTGACGTTATTATGGTAACACTCATAACATCATCACCTATTTTTCAACCTTGGCTTCTGTTCAGACACAACCACAGCCACAGCGGTTCAGACAGTTCACCCTCTCATGGGTCCAGACGCACCCACCCTCATTTCTATTCCACCACAGCCACCCTCATCCCGGATCAGACTCCCGCACATCCGCAACGGTTCACAACCGCACCATCACATCGGTTCAGACACCTCCCTCTTGCATCGGTTCAGACACCTCCCTTTTGCATCGGTTCAGACACCTCCCTTTTGCATCGGTTCAAAACCGCACCATTACATCGGTTCAGACACCTCCCTCTTGCATCGGTTCAAAACCGCACCATCGCATCGGTTCAGACACCTCCCTCTTGTATCGGTTCAGTCAGCACTAAATCGGTTCAGACTCACGCAACCTCACTTGGGTTCAGACTCCCTCACCTCTACCTCGGTTCAGACACTCATCGCCATGATTGCTAAATCCACACACGCACGAGTAACTAAGCATTAGATAGCGGCTGTTTATTGAGTACAGACATGATCGATCAGGCGTGAACTCGATAATAAACTATGGATCATCGATTGATGTCGATTATCGATCACAAATTTAGAAGATGAACCCCTGATCATATCATTAAGAATATACACTGCCATATTATCATAGCGGTAGATGAGGCCAGAGAAAGTGTCATGTGGCGTTCAAGGTAAATGCAAACCTCGCAGGTAGAAGTCGAGGAAATCCTGGAGGTCAGGTAGATGCATGGAAGCCGAGTAAATCCTGGAGGTCAGGTAGATGCATGGAAGTCGAGTATATCCTGGAGGTCAGGTAGATGCATGGAAGTCGAGTATATCCTGGAGGTCAGGTAGATGCATAGTAAAAGGTCAGGTAGATGCCGAGTCGAGTATATCCTGGAGGTCAGGTAGATGCATGGAAGTCGAGTATATCCTGGAGGTCAGGTAGATGCATGGAAGTCGAGTATATCCTGGAGGTCAGGTAGATGCATGGAAGCCGAGTAAATCCTGGAGGTCAGGTAGATGCATGGAAGCCGAGTAAATCCTGGAGGTCAGGTAGATGCATAGATGTCGAGTAAACCCTGGAGGCCAGGTAGATGCATAAATGTCGAGTAAATCCTGGAGGTCAGGTAGATGGATGAATGTCGAGTAAATCCTGGAGGTCAGGTAGATGCATAGATGTCGAGTATGTCCTGGAGGTCAGGTAGATGCATAGATGTCGAGTAAATCCTGGAGGTCAGGTAGATGCATAGATGTCGAGTAAATCCTGGAGGTCAGGTAGATGCATGGAAGTCGAGTAAATCCTGGAGGTCAGGTAGATGCATGGAAGCCGAGTAAATCCTGGAGGTAAGGTAGATGGATGAATGTCGAGTAAATCCTGGAGGTCAGGTAGATACATAGATGTCGAGTAAATCCTGGAGGTCAGGTAGATGCATAGATGTCGAGTATATCCTGGAGGTCAGGTAGATGCATAGATGTCGAGTAAATCCTGGAGGTCAGGTAGATGCATAGAAGTCGAGTAAATCCTGGGGGTCAGGTAGATGCATAGATGTCGAGTAAACCCTCGAGGTCAGGTAGATGCATGGAAGTCGAGTAAATCCTGGAGGTCAGGTAGATGCATAGAAGCCAAGTAATTCCTGGAGGTCAGGTAGATGCATAGAAGTCCAGTAAATAGTGGAGGTCAGGTAGATGCATGGAAGTCGAGTAAATCCTGGAGGTCAGGTTGATGCATAGAAGCCAAGTAATTCCTGGAGGTCAGGTAGATGCATGGAAGTCGAGTAAATCCTGGAGGTCAGGTTGATGCATAGAAGCCGAGTAATTCCTGGCTGGTGTGTCATGTAGACAGATGGTAGT